AGTGCTTTCGAGATTCAGATCATTTCGCACAGTTTTTGGACATACTTGATCAGTATATTTTGCAAATATTTATTCAAATCTTACGAGTGTCTGTGTTTACAATATATTTTCCTGGTTTTCCTACGTACTTCTTTCACTACCATACAGATGTGTTTAACTAATAAGTTTCAAAAACGAGCTGTTTTGTTGGCGCCATTTTTAGGTTTCACGTGTAGACATTATTTATATGTTAATTTCACGTTTAAATTCCATTTTAGATCTTTCATCACCCGTGCCTACGGCATTGGGTACTCGGTCATTGTCAAAGGGTTTGCCTATGCCCACAAAGTACTCGGGACACATATCGCCGTGGTCTTCTCTGCACAGTATGTACTCCGAGGAGCCTTACTGCTGTCTTATAGACGTTGATGAACATCTAAGCGTTTCCCTCACACACATTACTACATCGATCACTCCACATAAGACCCATCCTGCAAAAACCGGTCTTATACTCAGTTATAGTCCATTCGCCTTATACTCCTCTTCTAGCATGACTTCCGGTGCGATCCAGTGTCTATTTCCTCCCTTTTCAGAAGCCTATGAAACCGTATATTTATTATGTCCAGCCCAATTTACAGTGTCCCAGCTTCAGCGCCTTCTTTTAGCAAAATATCAACTTGAATCATATCACCGTACCGTGGACATTTTTCTCGGTCGAGAGTACTTAGAGCCAGCGCATACGCTTCGGGAACTTGCATTTTTGTACGCTTGGCCCACCAAGCAAGAAGTTCTTCCTTTACTTTTTCGTTTTTCGGACCTCGATACCGCATGGTGGGGATCTCCTATGCCCAGGCTCGAACCGCTTAAGTTAACCACTTTACCTTCCCCACAATCTTCTTCAGTTTCTGTCAAGTACGAGGAAGGCAGCAATGACACAAAAAATACGCCAGTTAGCACTGCGGTTGACACTGTGGCAGTTCGCATTAAACGAAGACGTACCTCTTAAAATTGACAATCAGATGTTTTTCCTTTTTTTGCAAAAAGTCTCTTAACATGTCTTATAAGATATAGAATTTATACTCCTGCCAAACCCATGTTTCTCCTCATATTTCAGTTTAACACAAGAGTTTATAAATTTTTTTTGATTGCCTTGCACATGCCCGTCTTTCATCCTTATCGTGGGCTTACTTCGACAATCTAGTCACTCCGGATTAAACCCGCATTGCTTAATTACAGTTGCTTTTGTCCGTTTCATAACGGTAGAAATATCTTATAATAAAGATCATTTTCTGAAAACGAGTTCTGTTCTTACTGTATGTTCGGCTTCTATTTCTATACTCTTGTTTGGTTTCTACGTCGCAATCTCGCAGATTTTCATATTGTATACACTCGGGGCATCGATTATGTTAGCCTTATTGTTACTGCCCGTTACTTCTTAACCCCGCGTGCATAAACAAAGCACATGAGAACATAGCCATCTCTACTGATCGGGGTTGGGGCTTCGTTACTTTTAGAGCAAAATTAGTTTAGATAGACTTTGCGTTTTCGTCCTACTTTTGTCAACTTTATTAACCTCTGAGTTCAGCGAACCAACAAAAAATCGATGTCAGTGAAATTTCATCGGTTTTCTTGTGCGCGTCATAGCCCTTATGCTATGTCGCAGATTTTTATGATGCAAGCTGCATGTTTACTACATTCTCGCACCTTGAGATTGTAAAACGCGTCTCTTGCGTTAGCTTTATTAATCACAACCACATTTATACATACTTGTACTTCTAGGTGATAGTTCATCTCACCTGTCTTTCTTTAGTGGTACTAGATGAGCTCATAGTTATCGTCTTATCCTAACCGAAATGCGCATACTTTCCTCCAATGATTCTTCTCCGGTAGCAGTGGTAAGAATCTTTCATTTTCCGCTCCTCATACACACATATCTCGATATTCACAACCGTATGCTAAAATTGACCCGGTACACGCGGATCTTTGTGCTGATTGAAATATCGTGGCGAGTTCATTGAAATCTAAAACATGCATTATTTCGACGAACGTCATAATTTTTGAAAGCTACGCCGTCCTTGCTGTCTATTTGACAGCAACTTGGAGATATGGAAAGCGCCCACTTCTTCAACGGGACAATTATTAATCTCGAGGAGCGCTTTTCATCCGGTCAGGGCTGCTGCGCGAGACTTTATTCCTCCTCGTATTTAATTCAAACCCGACTGATTTCAAGAATACATTTTCATCCTGTATTAATCATAACCTGACGCTTTCAAGACCGCTTTTCAATAACGACCGAAACAAATCGCCGAAGTTTGCTTGTAGCCGTGGCGAGTTTCGACGTGTTCCAAAATTAATATTTTGCTGCAATGTCTATGGTCACTTCAGAATTCGGCATATTTAGCCTTTTTCTTCGACTCGCATACGCTTCAAAATCTTCTAGCAACTACCGTAGCAAAGGCTTTCTCAGCCATTTCAATAGGATTTAGTCAGCAGCGACTTACAATTCTTGCTTTATGCGTTCTATAGAAAAGGCGCAAACACGACAGGGCCTGAGTCATCAGTAGTTATCTCGTATCTTCCTGAAGGTTCACTCACATCGTGCGGCCAGCGTTTCAGATTCTCCAACTAAGTAGGGGACAAGGAAACCATGTACTCAGAGTGCTTTGTTGTTGTACATTCCCGGTATTGCAGCAATAACCTCCCCTCAGTGAGAGCAGTTAGACTACGCTCCTGAGTAGAGAGTGTTGCATACGTCGGTTCTCTACTTTGACTAGATTGGCAGAAATGGGGTCACCGTGCACGTTAGGAACAAAGTCATTCAATGCCGGGGATCGTGTACTGACTTTGGGCTTACTGCACTTGTCGCCACTAGCCGAATTTTGCTCCATTAGTTTACTTCGTTTCAATAATTACTGATACATCCTCTAGCCGATGTTACAACCGTTGTGGGACTGGCTCGAGCCATCTGGACAGGCAACTTAGCTATTTCCTAGAGTTCGGAGGACCTCGGTTATCATCTACTGCAGCCCTCTTTCGTTTCAATGGACCGGTCTTGACAGGATTTCTGGGTGTACAACGTCTATATTTGGCCATTATAATGTTGCAGCACTGACGTAAGACATTTTAGGC